TTGTGCAAGTTCTCCCTCTTAAAAAGATGAGAGAGGCCTGTAATTTTCATCATAGGTATACCTCAACTATGAGAGACAAAATGAGGGAAAAAAATCCAGAAAATCACATTGTAGGATTTTTAAATAATTTATTTGCAAATTATGGTGGAAAATAAGTATTTGGTCAATAACAAAATTTCATCTCAATACTTTGTTATATACCCTTTGTTGGCAATGACAGAGGTCAAATGTTTTCTGTAAGTCTTCACAAGGTTTTCACACACTGTTGCTGGTATTTTGGCCCATTCCTCCATGCAGATCTCCTCTAGAGCAGTAATGTTTTGGGGCTGTCGCTGGGCAACATGGATTTTCAACTCCCTCCAAAGATTTTCTATGGGGTTGAGATCTGGAGACTGGCTAGGCCACTCCAGGACCTTGAAATGCTTCTTATGAAGCCACTCCTTCGTTGCCCGGGCGGTGTGTTTGGGATCATTGTCATGCTGAAAGACCCAGCCACGTTTCATCTTCAATGCCCTTGCTGATGGAAGGAGGTTTTCACTCAAAATCTCACGATACATGGCCCTATTCATTCTTTCGTTTACACGGATCAGTTGTCCTGGTCCCTTTGCAGAAAAACAGCCCCATAGCATGATGTTTCCACCCCCATGCTTCACAGTAGGTATGGTGTTCTTTGGAACTCAGCATTCTTTCTCCTCCAAACACGACAAGTTGAGTTTTTACCAAAAAGTTCTATTTTGGTTTCATCTGACCATATGACATTCTCCCAATCCTCTTCTGGATCATCCAAATGCTCTCTAGCAAACTTCAGACGGGCCTGGACATGTACTGGCTTAAGCAGGGGGACACGTCTGGCACTGCAGGATTTGAGTCCCTGGCTTCAGTCTTCCCAGCCTGGTGCAGGTCTACAGTTTTGTTTCTGGTGTCCTTTGACAGCTCTTTGGTCTTGGCCTTGGTGGAGTTTGGAGTGTGACTGTTTGAGGTTGTGGACAGGTGTCTTTTATACTGATAATGAGTTCAAACAGATGCCATTAATACAGGTAACGAGTGGAGGACAGAGGAGGCTCTTAAAGAAGAAGTTACAGGTCTGTGAGGGCCAGAAATCTTGCTTGTTTGTAGGTGACCAAATACTTATTTTACCGAGGAATTTACCAATTAATTCTTTAAAAATCCTACAATGTGATTTTCTGGATTTTTTTTTCTCATTTTGTCTCTCATAGATGAGGTATACCTATGATGAAAATTACAGGCCTCTCTCATCTTTTTAAGTGTGAGAACTTGCACAATTGGTGGCTGACTAAATACTTTTTTGCCCCACTGTAACTCTAGTTACAGTAATGTTTATGTACAGATGTTATGATGTTTCACTGGCTTTTCAATTACCTGCCAGTGAAATAACAAGGGAAGACAGAATATTTCTTCATTTTAAATGATAATTGTGCATCTGAAGAGTGTGAAGTATCAAATCTGTGATTTCAACCGGTGACATTTTTTTTCACCGACGAAAACGAGACGATGACAAACTAAAATTTGTTTTGAATGACAGAAACTATGACGAAAATCTATTGATACTTTCGGCAATGAATAAAAACGAGATGAAAATGTTAGGGAGGGACGATTTGGGAAGAGCTTTTGCAACGGAGGCCAGCGAGTAGGTGGTGTGCAGGTAAACCTCACTCCCCTGATCCTCCTTGAAACAACAAGAACAAGCCTCCTTTTTAGTGCGTCCACCTCCCATGCTGGAGACCCGGGTTCAAGACCCACTCGGAACGAGAACGAGGTGTGACGGTGAGGACCCGGGAGAGAGGGGTTACATTGGTGCCGTGACCTGGATGGGAGTGAGGATTAGGGGGGTGAGTGTAACGGAGGCCAGCGAGTAGGTGCTGTGCAGGTAAACCTCACTCCCCTGATCTCAAGAGATGCACTAGTGACTGACGAAAGTGACTGACAAAAATGTCCATATCTAGGAGTAAGAGAAGAGCAGGCATATGGATAATCTTACGACGCAAGAGAGAGCTCAATTCTGTTTGGTTTTCTGAGCGCACACATCGAAGCAGCGCCTCTCACACAGCGTGCGCGTAGGCTCTTTCTCGTCTCATGAACGGAAAAATACACACAAAATTATGTAGAATTGTCTGTTTTGACGAGTATTCGCGTAAACACACTCGGTTATGTCTTATGTGAACTAGTGGTGTTCGGTTCTTGAACGAATCGTTCTTTTGAGCCGGTTCTCAGGAAGTAACCCGTTGAGCCGGTTCACAAATTGAACCGAATCGAACTTTTGCTCCGGGTTGATGACGCAGGACACACTGCCGAAGTAGCACATCCAACTCAAAAAGAATCAAATGAGCCGGTTCAACCAACTGTCGAAGTTTGCCGAGGATTACCGAAGATTCTAATGAGTGAGTTGGCGATACTGTGCAAGCCTGAGGCGCGTACAGGAAATATGCTTATTATGACTGTTATTAATTTACATTTTATTAAAACCTGCAAAAAACTTTCTGTCGAGTAATGTAAATAAATTGTACAATAGTTTATTATGCATGCATAATATATTGTCAATATTGGTCAGTCAGTCATATCGGAGGATCCGCGAATGAAACTGTCCATTAACTTAAGTTAATTATATGGCAATAATCAGCAATATGCTTTCACACAAATAACTTTATTTACAATCTGTGTTGACACAAATGACTTATTTGAATTTTTCATTGATACAACATGGCACTGAGTTGTTAGAAAAGAAATGTGTAGAGAGAGACGTTATTGCTTGATGACGTCAGGAACCGATGAATCGGCTTTTTGAACCGGTTTAATGAGCCGATCTGTCCGAAAAGAACCGGTTTGCGGAAATGAATCGGACTTTGCATCACTAATGTGAACATAAACAATTGGGAGAATATTGGATGTGTATTAGTACATTGCATCCGTGTATCCGGTTTTAAAGGGACAGCAGCCTAATTAAGTTGCTATTGTCTGTGGCATTGATGTTAATCAAGCAACAAAAGAAAGACAGAAAATCACTCACTCCTTTTGACTGAATCACTTTAGTAGCCCTAAAGACTAATCTAAATTTATTTATAGAAAGAAAAATGTCTGCTTGAAAGAATGAAAAATGTGGTTAACACGTTGTTATAAAGAAATTACCATTTGTATTTCAATGAAAAGAAGACCATGTTCTTGTTCTTTATGAGAAGTGGTTTTATTTAATTTTAACATAAAGGCATGTTGTGTGTCACCGCAGTTAAACTGGTGTCTATCATAATAAAACCTTAATTTCAAGCCTAGTGAATTTGGAAACCCATTAGATTTTAGCCGACTAAATTTATTGTAGATTTAGACTAAAAACTAGACTAAAACTAAAGAAAAAATACAGAAGACTAAAATATGACTAAAGCTAAATGGCATTTTAGTCAAAAGACTATGACTAAACCTAAATCAAAATTTGCTGTCAAAATGAACACTGATTTCAACTTTGCTCTTTGAGCAACTCAGGGGTGTCACCCTTCACCGAAAGTGCTAAGGCTGCATGGGACATGTTAACATAGAAGGTGCTATACTGTCAAATCCAAAATAAGACTTTATCAATTGGTCTCTTGAGCTTAGATGACATTTTCATATATGATAAGAGCAGATACAATATTCAGGACATTGCATTTTTCCTTGCATATTGCGATTTTGTTTTTTCCATTTTTAACTTTGCAAATTCAGAAGTACCAAACAAACACTCCCCGTTAAAAGTCAATACTTTGCTATCGCTGTCAACACTCACGAGTGACGGTTTGCCACTCTGAGTTTGGGTGTCAGAGTCTCTAATCCATATGGCTCATTGATGATGCTTTTTGACAGGCTTATGCAGTGGAGAATGTCTGTGCAGATGAAGTTTCCCCTTCATTAAAACACTCCTGTGAACACGAGCTGTCGCTCCCACTGCGTGAATTGTCAACCACGTCTTCAGTGCCGAAAGCAAATGCATAACTGAATGGCTTAATTCATAATAACTTGGATAAGTGCCACTCTAACTAATTTGATATTTGAATTTCATGAAGGACTTTTCATTTACACACTTTTACATTTATATGTCAGATTAATATTTGTGTATATATGCATGCAGTTGTGCTTTGTATAATACAAAAATGGAGGACTTCCACAGCTTGGTTCCTCACAAAGCTTCTTTTAGATTTATGGACAAATTACATTTAAGTTGATCACTGACAGATATTAAAAAGGAATGCACCCATCTCATTGGCAAAAATATTCAGAATTTGGTCATGCTCCAATAATGTAAGTGTCAAAAAGCATAAATAAAAAAACTAAATAAATTAGAAAATATTACAAATTTATTGAAAGTAATTAATTAAAATAGATTATTTTTTATAATTCAGTAATAATTTAATTTCATTATAATTCAAATAACACAAATTTGTATGTATATACAGTATATATATATATATATATATATATATATATATATATATATATATATATATATATATATATATATATATATATATATATATATATATATATATATATATATATATATATATATATATATATATACTGTATATATATAATATTTTCTGTAACAGTATTCAAGTGAAATCCATTTATTTTCTATTAATTTGAACACTGTTAGCATTCTCCATTTGTAACAGTATCAGTTTCATACAGATGTTTGTTACAGCAAAATAGCCATGAATCTAATGTCTGAGGTGCTTTTTTAAACACAAAACAAAATGACAGGTGATGTTAGTGGTTTGTTTTACACCAGTTCTATTGCTTTTTTTCATTCTCTTTGTTATAAATGATCTAAAGTGCTACATGATTGCAATTACATGAATGGCAATTATTGAACTGATCAAATTACTGTCCAAAATGCAAAAAATACAGCATAGTAGCAAGATAATACTGCATGTCCCCTATAATATTAGTTAGATTGACTTTGCTTCAGTATAAAAGTATATTTGGGCTGTTTCTTGTCTAGACAGGTCCTGGAGGCTGCAAGGAAGTCCAATTTGACGGGTCATTTTAAGTTTGTGGGATCGGACAGCTGGGGTGCCAAGAGCTCTCCGATCCTGGACCAGGAGGACGTGGCTGAGGGTGCCGTCACCATTCTGCCCAAAAGAGCTTCTATTGAAGGTTTGAAACATACATATGCATCCTTTAAGTCGTCATGAAATAAATGCATGTCACGGATTGTATTGTGATCGATTCATTTGTGCGGATACAATTTTTTATTAGAAAATTAGGACTCCACCAATAATGGTTCTTTATTGGCATTGATGGTTCCATGAAGAACTTTTAACATCCATAGAACCAGGGCCATCCTTAGCTGACGTGGGGCCCGGTTGGGAGCGGGGCCCCCCTCAGTCCGTTCGTGATCACGTTCGCCTCGGTCCGTTTGCCTCGATTCTTCACACTAAGAAAAAACTGTTCCTTTAAGAACTGTTCACTGAAATGTTTTTTGGGGAATCAAAAATGGTTGAGTGAATCTACCACTCTCACTTTTCACAATACAATCAACAATCGATGGATAAAATTAAGTCCTACATTTCTTTCTTGCTTGATAGCCATTTTACTTGGAAATAGATCACAATATGGTAGTAAAGTTGGTTGCAACTTCTATTTCATGCTGTGTTTTTTACAATCGATTCCACTATAAGGATAAAATTGGTAATTTTTCTACTTTTAAATCAGGATTTGACCAGTACTTCACCACTCGATCCCTGGAGAACAACCGCAGGAACATCTGGTTCGCTGAATTCTGGGAGGACGACTTCAGGTGCAAACTGACACGTCCAGGTATCAAGATAGACCCAGAAAAGAAGAAATGCACAGGTGAGTGCTCCTGTTAGCCGTTTGCAAGTTAACTGATGTTTGGAGCAATGACAGCTGACCTTAAAAGCTTTTTAATGTCTTCTGTCTGTCTTCTTGTTCAGCTAAGTATTTTCATTTGTCACTTTGCTGTCTCACTGTGTTCATTTTACCCTTTCTCTCTCTCTCTCTCTCTCTCTCTCTCTCTCTCTTTCAGGAGAAGAACGGATTAGTCGCGATTCTCATTATGAGCAAGAGGGCAAGGTTCAGTTTGTAATTGATGCAGTTTACGCTATGGCTCATGCTTTGCACAACATGCACCAGGATTTGTGCCCGGGAGCCACGGGCGTTTGTGATAAGATGGACCCAGTGGAGGGACGTTTGCTGCTTAGCTACATCCACTCCGTCAACTTCAATGGTGAGTCAACATCACGCTAGATCAGAATCACTGAATATGATTCCTGTCTGGCATCAGAAATGCCATTAGGCTGGATGCCAAAAGATGTTCAAAGGTCCAAACTAAACCCCATATAGAGCTTTAATTTTGTCTCACTGGCTCATTTGGATTGAACACTGTGTCATGCATATTGATATTTGAATTGGATATTTGAATTTTTAACCACAAATTAAAATTCTGTTTTCATGTACTCATCGCTATGTTGTTCCAAACCTGTATGACTAGTTATTTTGGAGAAAGTTAGGATGAACTGGTTTGTTGTTGGCCTTATTTGTAAGTCATTTTGGATAAAAGTGTCTGCTAAAAGAATAAATGTTAATGTGGAAATTTTGAAGAATGTGAGCTCTTTTCTATATAATTAAAGAGTACAGCAGGTTTATGCGCTGTATAAGAAGTTTAAATTGGTATTGGCTGAAAATCACAGAAAATTTGTGTTTGCAAACATTAAATTATTTGATCAAAATTCAGTTGAAAACGTCGACACTGACGTTAAGGGTCTCACTTGGGAGCCCCAATCACCTCTGAGCATTACAAGAAACGGCCAATTACAATTGGCGAGTGGAAATTGCATGCCAAGCCAAGGTACATACGGGTATATAAGATGGTGGCGTGCATCCACTCATTCAGGTTTGTGCTGAGGAGCCGAGAAGCATCCCGGCATTCAGCACAGTTCACGGTTGTGGCATAATGTCCCCATTCCCTCCTTCAGGGAATGAGGGTCATATACGTAACCGAGATGCACTCCGTCAACTTCAATGGTGAGTCAACATCACGCTAGATCAGAATCACTGAATATGATTCCTGTCTGGCATCAGAAATGCCATTAGGCTGGATGCCAAAAGATGTTCAAAGGTCCAAACTAAACCCCATATAGAGCTTTAATTTTGTCTCACTGGCTCATTTGGATTGAACACTGTGTCATGCATATTGATATTTGAATTTTTAACCACAAATTAAAATTCTGTTTTCATGTACTCATCGCTATGTTGTTCCAAACCTGTATGACTAGTTATTTTGGAGAAAGTTAGGATGAACTGGTTTGTTGTTGGCCTTATTTGTAAGTAATTTTGGATAAAAGTGTCTGCTAAAAGAATAAATGTTAATGTGGAAATTTTGAAGAATGTGAGCTCTTTTCTATATAATTAAAGAGTACAGCAGGTTTATGCGCTGTATAAGAAGTTTAAATTGGTATTGGCTGAAAATCACAGAAAATTTGTGTTTGCAAACATTAAATTATTTGATCAAAATTCAGTTGAAAACGTCGACACTGACGTTAAGGGTCTCACTTGGGAGCCCCAATCACCTCTGAGCATTACAAGAAACGGCCAATTACAATTGGCGAGTGGAAATTGCATGCCAAGCCAAGGTACATACGGGTATATAAGATGGTGGCGTGCATCCACTCATTCAGGTTTGTGCTGAGGAGCCGAGAAGCATCCCGGCATTCAGCACAGTTCACGGTTGTGGCATAATGTCCCCATTCCCTCCTTCAGGGAATGAGGGTCATATACGTAACCGAGATGTTCCCTATCAGTCAGTTACGTTCGATGTTACGTCGACACTGATGTTAGGGGTCCACAACCAGAACTCTATTCTGAAAATTGAATGTGAGGTGCTGACAAGCAAGCGTGTCAGGACAAATGCACCTCAGTCCCTAACCTACCCAATGCCCTATAAGCCAGATCATTTATCAAATATACGGGCTTACCAGGGAAGCTGAAAAAAGGGGTGTTCCAACATTCTCATAATTCTAGATTTCAGCAACCATTGGGGTGCGGAATGTGAACAGTAAGACTGAGTTCGGGAGAACACAAAAGGAACTGACAGTAAACAAACTATCTAGGGAACACACAGGTCTACCAAGGGAAACCGTACCGTGGAAAAAAACATACAGGATTGCAAAGGGAATCTCATGTATGGCACCAAGTCCAGTAAAAGAGGGTGACTAATGGCATGCAACCCAAATACTAGACGTGGCAACAAACTCCTCCGCTAAGTCTGAATACCACAGGGTGTTGGAGGAATCAACTAGGATTCACCAGATAGAGAACTTACTTGAAGAAGATAAGCACACTTACCCTAACCAGAGGAATGGCACCGTAAGCGAGACACCGAGCCAGACCTCCCACAAATTACCTGTTTGTCCCCTGTTGAGGAGTCTCCTCCTTGGATTCCGGTCAGGGCAGAGCAGATGTTGACCCCTCAGGGGGGTTCCTTCGGACAAACGAAGACCCAGACCTCGGCGGTTTGACAATCGGAGTGACCCGCTGAGGCAAAATCTGCTTAATTAACTCCATCTGCTTCTGGACTGCTGAGAACTACTGGGCAAACTTGGGAGACGGTGGCGTAGAGAAAGTGGACCAATCATTCAGCCTCAAATGTTCGGGGGATGGAGGCGAGTTCACCTCCAGCCTGATAGACTTGGCAGCTCGAAGGAGCATGGCCATCAGCTCTGCTTCCGACTTCGAATGTGTAGCCGTAGTGTTGAACGTGACTGACTGATAGGGAACTACTGTTATGAAACGTTATTACAATTTACCTGTAAATTGTCCTTCAGAAATCATTATAATATGCTTATTTGTTGCTCAAGGTTTAATTTTTGTTATCAATGTTGAAAGCAGTTAACATATTTTATATAATTTAATATAAAAATGTATTTAAAATTGTATTTAAAATGTATTCAAAAGAATAGCATTTATTTGAAATAGAAATCTTTTGTAACATTAGAAATATATTTACTCTCACTACTAATCAGTTGAATGCATCATTTAATGCTGAATAATTTTATTAAAATATTATACATTCTTTTATATTATAAAATATTACAAAATCTGTTTATTTAAATAATAAACATATGGTCTACAATTAACAAGTGCATGTTATTCCAAGGAAAAAAAATTATAATTTTTAAATAAATTTTTCCACCTCTATTAACCACTAATATTATAGCTACTTTTCACAGTCTAATCAAATCCTGACTGAGAAAATCAAGTCCCGCCCTACAATATTATTTGCAGAATATTCAATTTAATTTTGAAATGTGTGACAATAGTGCCGTTAAATTTGTTTGCGAATGTTTTTACATGTGGTGTTGATATACAGCATGTGCATAGTGCTTCACAGTACCACTTTGGCCTCGTAGTTCTGTGTAGTTTGAAAACAGAAAAAACATCTCCAGAAAAGTTGTGGCAAGTAAATCTAACTTTGCTCTGGTGTTGTGAAGCTGTCCATGAAGGAATTCCCATTAAATCACTTCCTCAAGAGTGACTGTCATCTTGCAAACATTTGGTGAAAGCTCGCCTGGAGGGAACTGGCTGAACAAGCAATATGCATTATTGTGAAGGAGAAAATTGCATGGAAAATAAGTCCCTTTTCCACCCCAGAATTTCAAATGAAGCGGTCTTCCTCCTACACAGCAAAGAACAAACAAGGAAAATACAAATCCTCATTCATCCAGGGCTAAGAAAAGCAGGTTATCAGTGGTTCAATGATGTGTTCTTGCTGAGTTGGAGGAAGGGATCTAATGGTTGAACTAAATACACATACTCAGGTTGACAAAGACAGGTTCAAAGCACTTCCAATCACGTGGAAACAGCCGAATATTTCTATTTAACGCATTCTGAGTTTCCCATTCAAATCTAGTCATAGACTAAAAACAGATACCACTGCCTGCAATGACATGCAGCAGGGTAAAGTATGCATGAATGGAGCATCTATATGGCAGATGGGTGTAGAGCGAAGTGAAGATGTTCAGAGCTCAGTGGAGAAGACGGAGTAACAGGAAGAGGAGGTGATCAGTGAAGCTAGAACCTGACGTCTCTTTATGATATACAGTGGGGCAAATAAGTATTTGATACACTGCCGATTTTTCAAGTTTTCCCACTTACAAAGAATGGAGAGATCTGTAATTTTCATCGTAGGTACACCTCAACTGTGAGAGACCGAATCAAAAAAAAATATCCAGAAAATAACATTGTATGATTTTTTAATAATTAATTTCCATTTTATTGCATGAAATAAGTATTTGATACAATAGAAAAATAGAAATTAATATTTGGTACAGAAACCTTTGTTTACAATTACAGAGGTCAGACGCTTCCTGTAGTTCTTGACCAGGTTTGCACACACTGCAGCAGGGAGCTGTGATCGCGCTCATCTGAAGAGCTGATGTTCTCAGCTATAATTTACTATCACATCTGTAATGTATTTCTTCAAAGACCAGAATTCACAATTGTTTTCTGGCTTTTAGTTGTCTTAAAAGTTGACAAAAGTAACTTAGCAGATATATGCATCTAGATAAAATGCTCCAAAAAAGGTCGAAATGTTCTTTCCCAACTTCCTGTTTTAATAGAAATACATGCAAATTACTTTAAAAAGATGCATAAGACAAAATCAAAGCAAAACAGTCTAATTAAACTAGTACTTCTTCTGTGATTATCAGGTAGTGCTGGTACTGCTGTTCTGTTTAATGAGAACGGAGATGCTCCTGGACGCTATGACATCTTTCAGTACCAGATGACCAACACCACCAATCCAGGATACAGAGTCATCGGCCAGTGGACCAATAACCTGCGACTCAGCGTAAATTGAATTGTACATTAGCACACACTTTAATCATATTCACACCTGAAGGATCCAAGAACATGTATGAGTTATACATAAGAGTCTGAAGACTCATAAAAGACTCCTTTTTTCCCACTTTTTTTATTTTTATTTTTATTTTTTTATTAAAGTTTTATTTATTATTATTTTTTAACAATTATAACATTTCAGATTCTGCACTATTTCAAGAATCCTGAAAAAATGTATTACTGTTTCCAAAAGAATATTAAACAGAACAACTGTATTCAAAAGTGACGATAAGAAATGTTTCTTGAATGGCAAATCAGCATATTACAAGGATTTCTGAAGGATCATGTGACACTCAAGACTGGAGTAATGATGCTGAAAAGTCAGCATTGACATCACAGGAAAAAATAAAAAATTGTAAAAAATATTTAAATAGAAAACAGTAATTTTAAATTGTAATAATATTTCACAATATTACTGTTGTAACGCTATTTTTAATCAAATAAATGCAGCCTTGGTGAGCAGAAGAGACTTTGCAAAATCTTACAAAACCCTAACTTTTGGTGTATACTGTATGTTCCAAAACATATCTTGAACATACAAGTATGACTGATTTGGTTCTGCAGGTTAAATGTTTTTTTGTTTTCTAGATTAATTGTTTGTAAATATTCTCTGTATTTCATCAGGTGGAAGAGATGCAGTGGACCGGTGGATCCCGTCAGATGCCGGACTCGGTTTGCAGTTTGCCGTGCCGCTCAGGTGAGAGGAAGAAGATGGTGAAGGGTGTCCCGTGTTGCTGGCACTGTGAGCTCTGTGATGGCTATCAGTTCCAAGCTGACGAGTTCAACTGTGAGATGTGCCCTTTCGACATGCGGCCGAGCCCCAACCGCACGGCCTGCCGCCCAACTCCCATCATCAAGCTGGAGTGGCATTCACCCTGGGCCATGATCCCTTTGTTCCTGGCCATTCTTGGCATCCTGGCCACCCTGTCCGTCATCATCACCTTCATCCGCTTCAACGACACCCCTATCGTGAGGGCCGCGGGCCGTGAGCTCAGTTACGTGCTCCTGACCGGAATCTTCCTCATCTACCTCATCACCTTCCTGATGATCGCTGAGCCAGGGACGGTGGTGTGTGCTTTCCGCAGGCTGCTGCTGGGGCTGGGCATGTGCATTACATACTCTGCCATGCTTACAAAGACCAACCGGATCTATCGCATCTTCGAGCAGGGCAAGAAGTCTGTCACACCGCCAAAATTCATCAGCCCCACATCGCAACTTATGATAACCTTCATACTGATCTCAGTACAGGTGAGGGTGTTAAATGAATGCTTGAAGTCATAATTATTTTATTGCTTCCTGCAGGGTGCAACCCATATCCTATACGTTCCAAATCTTATGGAGCTGCTTACTGTGTTGGGCTGGTTGGAAAGTAGAATATTTTTTAACATCGAGCTACAATATTTAAGTCTCGTATGCTTACCAAGGCTTCATTTATTTGAATACAGTAAAAACTGAAATGTTATGACATATTAATGCAATTTAATTGTTTTCTATTTGAATGTATTTTAATTTATTCCTGTGATTATTTTACTGTCTCTTATTTTACTGATTATTTAATGCACCTTTGCTTAAACTATTAATTTCCTTCAAGAAGCTCTAACTGGGTTCTTATCTTATTAGTTAAAAGTACTTAAATTTGATTAGTGTCCTTGAAGTTTAAAACTAAAATATTTCATCTTAATTTGTTTGTCACAAGTGTTAAAAGTAATACATTAAAATTATTATAAATGAATTTAAAAAAATGTAATATTATTAGTAAAATTATTAATCTTACTGACCCCAGTCCTTTGAATGGAAATTAATCAGTGAATGAGTTATTTAAATAGTCTCTGCATATGAAGTTTGCATAGCAAAAGTATTTAATATTAAAAAAGAGTTATCTTAAACACACATCACCTTTAACTTTTAGTTCATGCATTTATTAAAAACTGCTGTGGCAGCTTCGATGATAAATGCAAGGCCAAACCATTGAATTATTGAATAAAACATGAATGAATTTAATTAATAAAGAAAATTCTGCTGTACATCACATTGAATTCTGTAGACAGGCACCCTAGCAAGTCCTGATCTTACATGAAACATACATGAACGTGTCTGTCTACCTTCCAGCCAAACACAGGTTCATGAGCGCCACAGAGCCACTGGTTATGGAAACTAAAGCCCCTGTGCTGTAGTTCCATTCTCAACACGACCCTATGGATGAATTTTGAGGTTTTGTCAATAACAGTTTCCCAGCCAAGCAGATTCTCCTGTGTTTGTACACTTCGCCGAAGCTGATAAGCTGCCTGCAGACCTCATCATGTTGAGTGCCTGGGCTTCATTCTGCTTGTGCCAGCAAACGTGCCAAACACGCTAATGTGCAAAAGCAACAGATTCAACATCAATAAAGGCGAAAAAATGATTTACAGGTGACAAGAAATACACATCGTGTCTGCTGATAAACACCTCTCCGGCGATTAAAAACTGCTGATTTGAACTTTTACAAAATAATATTTTAGAAGCTTTTGTAGTTGGAGTTTTGCCCCAGAATTATGCGCATGACTCACCGGCAGGGAGAATGATTGACAGCAGGACGTTTCTCGGCACCTCCTCCAGCGCAGATGTGTCACCGATGCTGAGTGGAGAACGATGCTGCTGAGCGATTCTGACAGCAGCATCTGTCTCCCCGGCAACACGCCGGCCACCCGGCTGCTGCTCTGTTCTCCTCCCAGCCGTAGAAGTTTCTCGGAAAGTTTTGCGCGTTACCTGATGAGCACCTTCAATCGGGATGAGTCACTTCCTAGTCGGAATGTTCCCATTGAGAACCGGTGTAAAGGATGCTCTCTAAATCACGCCTCTAAACAGCTGCTCTCATCCGGTGATCCTCCGCACTTCCATTATGATTTATGGTGAGCAGACGTCCCATTTCAAATGTCCTTGTTTTTTATTTAGTGTTCAAAATCTAAAACAGTAACTTGTATGCTAGATATTACACATAATGGTTTTAAAAAATATTATTTCTTTACATAGAGTTTGTCATTTCAGTTTCATCTTTTATTTTCAGTTTTAGATAAAGGAGTAAATAACTCACTTGACAGAAGTAAATTAAGAAAATTAAGACTATACTTTCATGTCTGAAGCTGTCTGTCTGAATTTGATTGGAAATATATGAGTTCATAATAACATTTAATTACAGACTTTGACAAATCTGAGCAGTTTGTGACATAAGACACATCTATAAATAACACGGATGTTGTTGACTTAGGAACATGTTTACTAAATGAAAATACACATAGTATTTGAAGAAATAATGTTTTGTTTTGTTTTTAACAATAATGTGTGATATCTAGCATAAAAGTAACTATTTTACATTTTGAACACCAAATAAAAAATGAGGACATTTCTAAGGACGGCTATCTACAGTATTTACACTATCGTTCAAAAGTTTGGGGTTGTAAGATTTTTAAAAAGACTTTTTTATGCAGACCAAGGCTGCATTTATTTGATCAAATACAGTAAAAACTGTAATATTGTGAAATATTGTTACAATTTAAAATAAATGTTTTCTATTTGAATATATTTTAAAATGTAATTTATTCATGAGATGCAACGCTGAATTTTCAGCATCATTACTCCAGTCTTCAGTATCACATGATCCTTCAGAAATCATTCTAATATATAATACTGTATATGATGATATTTTTTCAGGATTCTTTAGAACAGTTCAAAAGAACAGCATTTATTTGTAATAGAAATCTTTTATAACGTTATAAATGTATTACTTACACTTTTTTTTCTCAATTTAATGCATCCTTGCTGAATAAAAGTATTTATTTATTTCAAAAAAATTTGACAAAAAAGTGTAACAGCATATTATAAAGGGTGCATAGTATTTTTTATTTTATTTCTGACAGTCTACATTTATCATGGTCAAAATACACAAAACGTTTTAATTCAGAATTAAAAACACTGGAAATTTAAGTGCTACATTTCAACTGAACTAGACATATCCCCTTTTTTTCGTTTCAGATATCTGTTCACGTTATTACAAAGCGAGGAAAGGAACTTATCTTTTCGTCTTTAAGAAAGCACTTTAAAACCCATCATTAAGAGCAATCAGGCTGATAGCAGGTCTATTTTAACCTGTAATTTTGTGCAAAGTCGTGTCTGCTGAAGACACAGCTTCTTGTACAACTTTATTCCACATCAATCTAACAACAGCTCTTGACAAATGAGTCTGCCCTTCTGACTCAGTCTCGTCATTAATGATCAGCTTTTACTTCCTCCCTTCTCTCCGCAGGTTGTAGGTGTTTTCATCTGGTTTGGTGTGATGCCGCCACACACCATTGTGGACTATGAGGAGCAGCGGCCGCCCAATCCAGATTTGGCGCGTGGCATCCTGAAGTGTGACATGTCTGATTTGTCGCTCATCTGTTGCCTGAGCTACAGTATCGTGCTGATGGTCACGTGCACTGTGTATGCGGTCAAGAGCCGAGGTGTGCCTGAGACCTTCAATGAAGCTAAACCCATCGGCTTCACCATGTACACCACCTGCATCGTCTGGCTGGCATTCGTGCCTATTTTCTTTGGCACAGCACAGTCCACTGAGAAGGTGAGATGGTTATTATAATGGGATTCATTACTAATGTTGGTAAACAAGTACAGTAGTTCACCCAAAAAATGCAAAGCATTAACTTGCCATCATGTCGTTTTTGTTTGAAATAAATTATTCATTGGATTCAACAAGGATGCATTACATTGAAAAGTGACAGTACATTTAATGTTACAAAAGATTTCTATTTCAAATAAATGCTGTTCTTTTGAACTTCTGGTCATCAAAGAATCCTGGGGGAAAAAAACAACAACAACAACGTATTGCATTTTACACAAAAATATTAAGCAACACAACTGTTTCAACATTGATAATAAGAAATGTCGCTGAAAATCCAGCTTTGTCATCACAGGAATACATTACATTTTAAAATATATTCATATATTTAATTGCAATGCTATTTCATAATATTACTGTTTTTTTCGTGTTTTTTAATCAAATAAATGCAGGCTTGGAGAACATAAGAGACTATAAAAACTATAAAAACATTATAATAGCATTTCACAGTATTACTGTATTTACTGTATATTTACATAGGCCTATAAAAAACATAAAAAATCTCGCCCCCAAACTTTGAAACGGTAGTGTATAAAGTGACAAAAATGCACTATAAAGTGGACTCATGCACTATATTCCACATATTCTGAAATCATAATAATAGCTTTAATAATAATAGCAAACTGAAATTTAAGTTGAATCTTAATGTTCTTCCTCACAATGTGCACATGTTCAGACTTTGCATGCTAGCACGTCTTGCCAGGTTTGATGTGTAACCGAACATGATGCACCAAGTTTGAACATGCAGCAGTGCAAATGAGATCTTTAGGATGGTCTTGAGGTTGAACTTGACCTCATTCATCGCATGCTAGTAAAAAGCCACCTCAGAAGTGATTCCAGTGGTGTTTTAGGAGAGGAGCACACTCTTAAAAATAAAGAATCTTTATTTGCATTGCTGGTTCCATACACTGTAAAATCTAATTAGTTGGGCTTACTTAAAAAAAGCATACAAACCGATTGCCTTGAAAAAACTAAGTAAAGTGAAATAGCAATAGTATGTTGTACTGACAGATGCTTAGTTAGTATAGCTTACTTACACAAGAGTTCTAGTAACTAAAAAAGAACTGTAGGGGGTACTTGATCCTTTCATTTAGGTTTACTCTTATTGTGAAATATTATTACAATTTAAAATAAAAGTGTTTTAATATATTTAAAAAAAAATTTTTAATGTAATTTATTCATGTGATGCAAAGCTGAATTTTCAGCAGCCATTCCATTATTTGTGGAAACTGTAATACATTTGATGCATGGAAAGTTCAAAATAACAGCATTTATTTGAAATAGAAATCTTTTATAACATTATAAATGTCTTTACTGTCACTTTTGATCAATTGTCCTTGCTGAATAAAAATATTAATTTCCTTAAAAAATAATAATAGTAATCATACTGACCCAAAACCTTTGAACGGTAGTTTATCTATTGTAATCCCATTAGATTATACACATGTAGCTTCACAGAGGGTTAATATTAGATATGATTTGCATTTTTAAAGCTGCTTAGATATAATGGTATTTCTTTAACAGTACAAGAGCAGACTGGTAACTTCACTGACCGCAAAGCACATATATAGTGTTCAGTCATTTCAGAAACAAACGCTAGCACAAATAATCAGCTTGACTGTTGGTTGACAGTAATAAGCAGTGATCTGTGTGCTGTTAGCCGCGTTGATCCCTGAAGAGAAGAGTTAGCATGCTCTCAAACTTGCCCTGTCGCTCCGGCGCCCTTAAACACGGAATTTTACCCCAGGCTACTGCAGACAGAGAGTTTCTCATGTCAGTACAGGGTAAATCACTCTGGACAAAAAGACATCTGTCCTCATTGTATAGACATGTATGTCTCTTGTGTCTTCTATTGTTTTTGTGATTAAGTTAAAGTAGTTTTCATAAACTGTTACCAGTTGTTAAATGATTGTGATTTTAATGGTAAAAGACTCAAAAACATATTAATTGGTTAATGGTAAAGTCCCCCTCTCTATATACGGCGAAAAACTAATTTTATGGTAAAATAGAGTTTTTGGAAGTGAAAAAGAATGTACAATTTACAGTGAAAAAAACGTAAATTGACATTCCCAGAATTCCCTGCGTAACATTTCACATTTGATGTTTTCTCTTTCAAATCAAGCGTAGCGTTAGTTCTGCAGGTCACGTTAGTCAAGCTCGCATCAGCTGACCCTCAGCTGAACCCCATCAACCTATGGGAATACGACACCTATCTAATTGGTAACTTCACTGACCGCAAAGCACCATATAGTGCTGAACTGTGCGTTCAGTCATTTCAGAAACAAACGCTAGCACAAATAATCAGCTTGACTGTTGGTTGACAGTAATAAGCAGTGATCTGTGTGCTGTTAGCCGCGTTGATCCCTGAAGAGAAGAGTTAGCATGCTCTCAAACTTGCCCTATCGCTCTGGCGCCCTTAAACACGTAATTTTACCCCAGGCTACTGCAGACAGAGAGTTTCTCATGTCAGTACAGGGTAAATCACTCTGGACAAAAAGACATCTGCCCTCATTGTATAGACATGTATGTCTCTTGTGTCTTCTATTGTTTTTGTGATTAAGGTAAAGTAGTTTTCATAAACTGTTACCAGTTGTTAAATGATTGTGATTTTAATGGTAACAGACTCAAAAACATATTAATTGGTTAATGGTAAAGTCCCCCTCTCTATATACGGCGAAAAACTAATTTTATGGTAAAATAGAGTTTTTGGAAGTGAAAAAGAATGTACAATTTACAGTGAAAAAAACTTAAATTGACATTGCCAGAATTCCCTGCGTAACATTTCACATTTGATGTTTTCTCTTTC